AATGTTCATATTTTTTGCACGCATTTTTAGACATTACTGGTGTAGAATTCCACAAATTTTTTCGAGTTTATAGAACTTTAATCTTTTTTGTTAATTATGTGAAAACCATCGAATTTTTAGGTGTGGTTCCATGGGGAAAATGAAAGGCAAATATTTTGCTGTATCGCGAAGGTTTGCCATTTCGGAGGCAGAAGAGATTTAAGTTTGACATAATTCTCATTTCTTTAAAGATTCCAACGTGATGTAATCATTGCAATGTCTATCCATATTTTATGCCGTAACGTCGGATTTGGAGTTGACTCGGACGAGAAAAATGAGGAGAATGTGGCTCGGACGAAAAATTTTTGTAGCTGTCCTTCCTCCCCTAGAAAAAGTCAATCACGCAAAAATTGCCGCTTTAGTGATTGTAAATTTTAGCAGATGAAGCCTTAAGTCAGACCGCGTCAAAATAGTTACACCTTCTAGCCCTGGGCCTACTGTAGTTGGTGTCTGGGGCCGGACAATACAAACTAGGACCGAAAAGGTCGGTTAAGCTTAGTTACAAATGTACATGAGTTGAGTGTTTCTTGTTAGATATATTTATTTAAACAAAGCTGACACTAGCTGCAGGAGCTATTTCAGGTCCAGGAACTCCTGAATACCTCGCCTCCTAATCAAACAATTCAAAATCAAACTTTTTCGTTGACAACATGAGTTAAAGATAAATAAATAGTTAAATAAATAAGACTATATTATTATTGAAATCTTAGGATTAACATTCATATATAAATGAGATATCTATATAATATTTATATATAATATATGTAAAAAGAATCAATTCAATCAAAAAAAACAGATTTACATTCTCAGACACGATCTGTAACATATGCTAAAATTTTATTTTTTTTCTAAAAAATTAGTTTTTTTTGAGTGATTTTGAAATTCTACGGGCAACGCCGGGCACTTCAGCTAGAATATAATAAAGCTCTTTATTTAACTAGTCAAAGATCTCAAGTTGTAAACTAACCTGTTTTGATTGAGCTGTATTGCTACTGGTTGAGTTGTAAACTAACCTGTTTTGATTGAGCTGTATTGCTACTGGTTGAGTTGTAAACTAACCTGTTTTGATTGAGCTGTATTGCTACTGGCTACACTAGCCGTCATGTATCCTGAACTCCCTCTTCTCTGTAAGGTTCTACTAGTTAACCCTATCCAACTGGATCCTCTCTCTTGAAGACCTCCCTCACCAGAAAACATCTTCTTTATACTAAACCTAAACATTATTCAATTGAACCGAAGTTTTCAATGAAAATTATTTTTATAAAATTTAAAAAAATTTAAAATTTTTCGGGCTGACTATCAGGTTACAAGACCTATTATACGTGTTTAAATTTCGAAATAAAAATCGCTCAAATATATTGAACAGTCATCCAACTTTTGCTGCCAACAAAGCGATTTTTTTGTCGCTTATTTGGCAGCCATCCCAATTTTTACCGAAATTTTGATTTCGATTTTAGAGTGTGATGCATAAAGACCAAAGAAGGCAAAACAGGGCATTAGACCAAATGAACCATGTGAACCAAACTGGGCACGCTTTCAGACAAAAATATATCTGGATGTTTTCAATTACTCCCTTTTAGACTGAAGGTAATATCTGAAAGTATACCCAATATTGAACATTAATATTAAATTTTCATGGCTGTCAGGATTTTGATTGCTATTAGCTTTAAGATTTAGTATTGTATATTTATATATTTGCTAGCACAAGCTATGTCTAGATTGAAGTATATATCTTTTTGATTTTTGTGATATATACGCAGTTACTAAATAATCACGTTCTTGTAACCTGATTTGTTCACTACGCATATGTAATATGATCTTTTCTTTTATCTTTTTTTCCGGAAATTTTTTGACATTCATGTTCAATAATAAGTATTATATAGTAATAGTATTTTTATTTTAAAAGTAGCTTATAGAAACCCAGCTTTGCCTGCACACTAAACTTTTTCTATAAAAGTCAAACCATTCCACTTAACATTTTAAATCCAAACAAAAAACATTTCCATGGTTCTACCGAAAATAAAATTGTAGGAAAAATCTTAAATATTTCATTCCATTCAAGAATTTATCAATTAAAGTCAATTTTAAAGGTATTTTACTTTACCATGAAAAAAAACTCAGGCTGGTGTTTATATAAAAAAATCTAAAATACCTCATTTTTCTTTCTTCAGAGCCGGCGATTTAAAAAATTCAAGAAAATACGACTCAGGTCTAAGCTGTCGTCGGGCCTTATTTACGGCTTGAGCTTTCGGATTCTAATTCTGCATCTTATTTTCCAGAGTTGAGTTCAAAAACCGGTTTAATATTCTATTTGGCGGATTTTCATGGAAGGAATTGGCGCATTCCGGGTTTCCATGAGAACAAGACTTAACATTGAGCCTTATTCTTCACTAAAACCAACCAAGTTCGGTTTTATTTTCATTGTAGGGCCTAACTCCTAAGTCGAGCCTAAGATCTTGTAGCTTTCAATCACGTAACACAAGCTGTCGTCAGAGTTGAGTCTAAGATTGGGTCTTAAAGTTGGGTTTAAGGAATTACGACGAAGCTTTTAAATCGCGGCTCTGGTGTAAAATTGGCATATTTGAAAGGCCCTTAAATTTAGGAAAAACCTGTGTCACTTTGTATAATATATGTAAAAAAAAAATATTTTTGTATTTTGAGTTTTTTCCCTTCACCGTACATATATTTTACCCTTCAATCTACACAATTTTGTATAATTTGACAATTCTGATTTAGTTTAACATAACATTCTACGTTATTCCGATTCCAGTGTCTTAGGTAAAGTACGAAAAAAAACATGTTACGTTTTTAGTTTTGGATTTTAAAGATTAAGATTTAATGTAGAATGAATCAAAGCTTTGGTTTAACATGTAATCCTGTTGAAAGCTTAGAATAATATTATTTCAGTATTTGGAGAAACTAAAGTAAAGAGCAGAGTGGTTTAGAATCTATTTAATTCTTTGAAATTCTCTTTAATTCTAGAAGACGAAAATATTTTTTATCACCCCCATTTTGTTGTAGTAACCATCGGTGAATTTGTTTGTGTAAACAATGTTATTCAAAGTTCAGTTGGACCAATTTTGAAACCCTTACAACTATCTCTTTTTAATAAAGTCTTTGAATCTTTGCCACAAACTCAAATTTTCTAATTCCTATATTTTCAAAACCTCATGGCGTAAACCTTCGATATTTCAAACTTTGATTTATGGCTCTAACATAATTCATAGTTTGACATATCAAAGGTCTAATGACATTGGGTTTAGAAAATCAGAGTTTGTGGCAAAGACTCAATTCCTTTGTTCAAAAAAAAACAATTTTTAAAAGCTTATGTATCTGTGTAACTGGATCCTATTTACAGGGAGTTCCAATAAACATGGGAATTTTGTAACATTGTCTTAGAAATAGATAGATGGATAGATAGATAGATAGATAGATAGATAGATAGATAGATAGATAGAGAGATGGATAGATAGATAGATAGATAGATAGATAGATAGATAGATAGATAGATAGATAGATAGATAGATAGATAGATAGATAGATAGATAGATAGATAGATAGATATATAGATAGATAGATAGATAGATAGAAAAATAGATAGATATTTGACTAAATATTCTAATTAAAAACAATTACAATTGCACATATTTTTATATTTTAATTTAATTTAATTTAAATCGTTATTGTTTGTACTCTTTCATGATTTTAGGGACAATGAAACTGACCAGTCGCCTCAATTCTAGTTTTCTAATCCTGATATCTTTAAAAGAATGTTTTAAAACAATTATTATTCCTTGAGATTGTTTCTTCAGGAAGATTCGAGACAAATTGTTTATATATATTAGTATAAAGTGGTGGATGGGGGGTTGATCTAATTAACCAACTTTTACGGAAATACAGAATGTTTTTAGCTTTATAGTTATTGCGATGAAGCTTGCAATCTTTGGGTCACTGTGTGAGCAGTTCCTTAAAGTCGCAAACAAAGACTTCGATTGCACGGGCAGCCGTATAGTACATTTGAATTTCCGTGCCGGGTCAACCTTTCCAGTCCCAGTTTGTACTGTATCGCCTGGACATTGGGTAAAAAAAAGCAGACACTTAATAGGACAAGCCGTTGCAACAAGGTTGACGCGGTCAGACTTTAGGTTGAATTTACTATTACTAAAGGGTCAGAGGTGCGTGATTGCAAATGAATATTAATGTTGTGTTTACCTGGGCAGACCTTGGAGACCATGAGTATTAATTCCACAAAGATGTCTAGCAATCCAGGGTAGGTGACCTAACAAACCAAAACTTTAACATATATCTTAAACCAGAGTTCAGGGGGAGTTAGTTCGATTTGACACTAAATGTCAATTACGGACCAAATTAGAGTTATAAATTTTTTCCTACTGTTGAAATTTCATGTTTCTTTCTATTCAAACCGATTCACAACGGTGCTCTTTAATCCTTTATCTGATCAATAAAGTGGAAGATATCGTCGATTTACAAACTTGAAAAGTGTTTAATTCTGGCAATTTCCACTTTGTTTCTGAATCAGACATTTATGGAGAAACTATAATTTTAAAAAACTTTTTTGAAAGAGAAGATGATGGATTATGTCGCTTTTACAGAATTTGGTTAAATCTATCTTGTTAATTTATATATTGCACTTAATCTTTGAGATGAAGTGTAATTTCTATCTCAGGGGGAAAAGTTCGAAACCACGTCAAAGGTCCACAAATGACAATTAGCTTGCATTTATCAACGAGCAAATTTTTATTTAAAACTAGACTTTGATACTTTCAGTTAATTAAATAAGATACTTAATCTATATATTTATTGGTCAGCTATAGCTGGCCAAACTATTGATTCAAATTGGCTGAAAATTCGAAATTATTTTTTCTTTAAAATCATATTTTTTTCAGCTAGTATTCTTATAAAGAAATAAAGAAGTGAAAATTTGTTTAAGTTTCCCTGTTCTCCGGTAAACAAATATGTCATAACACAGTTTTCCAAGAACCAGAACTACCAGGATACACTCAATAATCACTATCCAGTTATACCATGAGCTGATGATGATCTGCTGGTTCACACTCTGTTTTGTAATTAAAGTTAATTACTGTGACCGGGAGGTTGGAACACTCCATCTCATCTCCATCCTTGAGCAGGAACTGGTATTTAGCCAGGAACTCCTGGAAAACACATTTTACACTTAAAGGGAGTGTCTGGCTAGACATGATAGTTGAGCTGAGAATGCAGTATTGTAGAGAATCTTTTTAGGAGTCATTTGAGACATATCCGACGTTTTTACGGTGCATATTTGTTCAGCAAGAGTGCAAATTCAAAATTTAAAATCCTTATAGATTGGTATTAGGCCGGGTACACCTGGAACACACAGTTTATACTTTGACTTGACCCACGTACAAACAATGCATAAAAAAGAAAAGCTAAGATCGAACCAGTTGATAGGTTGGAACAAGCTATTAAAGACACACGTATTTACGCTTTGCAAAAGCATATAGGACAACTAGAGATGGGCATTATTTTATGAAAGAACAAAATTTTTGAGAACGAAAGGAATTTTTCGTGAACGCTGGCGATCGTTCAGAATAAAACAATAACCGGTAGACGAACAGTCTGGAATGTTCAGAGAAATGATAAAAACTAATTTTAAATCGTTTGAACGAACTGGAAAAACGATAGTTATTTTAATGAAGGAACAAGTTTTCCAAAAGATTCAAAAAACGATATTTTTACTAAACAAAATTTGAAAAAAAGATAGTTTTTTTTTCTGAACTAACGGTTTTACCGAATGATCATTCAGTGAAAAAAAACCAACGAAGTGGATGGAAATTAACCATAATGAATTTTTTTAACGATTAAAAAACGAATGAAATGGGTTGTCCACAAATGATGAATGAACGAAATGAACAAAAAGCGGATCGCGCCCAATCTAAGGACAGCCAGTGTTTAGGTTGCGTCAAGTTACACTAAAAAAGTGAGTTGCTATAGTGCCATACTACTAGACTTCTAATAATCGCTGATGCATTAAACAGATCAAGCAAGGACAAGATAGATTGACACTTACGCTAAAGACTCCTTGAAATTGTGCAAATTAGAGCAAGCAAGGACAATTTAGGCCTACACTACCCCCATTAACTACACTAAGCTAAGCTTGTGGGGTAGTTCAAATATGCCCATGATAGGCCGGGTACTGTTAAAAGTCGGGCCGGACCAGTTCTTGCCACGCATCACTTAGACTGGTACAAGGGGTCGGTCCGGTTCTTTCCACATGTCACTTAGACCGGTACAAGGGGTCGGTCCGGTTCTTTCCACGCGTCACTTAGACCGGTACAAGAGGTCGGTCCGGTTCGAATTCAAATTGACCCTAGTCCACCGTGAACGCTCTGCATTGAAAATTTTAAAGGTTTTGAATAAAAGAACAACTTATAGCTCTTTTATTCTAACTTAATTATTAAAGATGAACCAAAAGCATTTTAATGGCTTTGAAGGAATATTTTTAAAATCTTAAGTTGAAAAATAAAACATTCAGAATACTGGATAGAGTGTTTATATTAAATCTAGATGATTAAATTTGAAGGGTTTGAAAAGATTTCTGGAATTTGATGGCGGAAAATTTCTGTTTTCGGACTAAAAAGTATCATTTGTGGGTTGAAATGAAGGATATAATACGTATTATTACTAACAATAGCTGGAAAATATGTTAGATTAACAATTATTTCAGCCAAATGATTATTAATTAATACATGGTTTACTTATATTTTTAATCCAATAAAAGTAAGCGTTTTAATACAATTTAATTTAATATTTTTAGTCTGTGGGTTTTTAGACTTTTGCACTGTAAAGGTTTACATTATTAGGTAGATTATTAACTAAATGAATTTTATTACCATGACTGTGGACTTTAACCTCTGTCATAAAAAGGATCAAGTAACTTTTCTTTAAATGAGAATATAGAAAAAAAACTGCTATTTTGGAAATATTTTTCATTCGAACGAATATGATTAATTATAGGAGAACAGAAACTTTCAATTATGTTTAATTTTTTCGTTGGTTAAGAACTGCTTCAGTATTAAAAAAAATAGTTTAACCAACTTAAGAAGGCATTGGCACCTGCACAACAGAGGTTGTAAAATTGGTTCAATTGTTAATTATGAGCGTGAAGCGCAATTTTTTTATTTTTAAACCCTTGGTGACGGGGGGGGGGCAGTGTTATTTAGATGTTAGTTACTTTAACAAAAGGCATTTTCCCAAGTGGCAACTTCCCAAGGGTATTTTTCCAAGTGGCAACTTCTCAAATGTCAAATTTCCCAAGCGACAACTTCCCAAGTCTGTCCTAGCCCCCGCCCCCCCCCCCCCCCCCCCTATAATGTTCTATCTGCAGCGCTCGGCCACCCTTTGCAGCCTGTGTGCCTCAGAGGCCATATCCTAACCTTCAGAAAGTTGCCGCTTGGGAAATTGCACATTTGGGAAGTCGCCGTTAATTTCTACTCCTGGTTTATACCTGGATATGCTTTATTCTTTTACATCCACATCTCCAGGGGTTCTTGGAGAACAGGAAATAGAAACCTTCCTCAACCTAGAACAGGAAATATAATCATAAACAGGAAATAGAATCCTAACTCAACCTAAAACAGGAAATAGAATCCTAACTTAACCTAAAACAGGAAAAAGAAACCTTCCTCAACCTCGAACAGGAAATAAAATCCTTCCTCAATATGAAATAGAAAATGGAACTTTTCCTTTTCCAACACCAAAAATTTTATACTTTTAATGAAAATCTTTTGAAGGTTTTCATTTATGTCGTGTTCTTTTCTCCCGATTTAACAAGTTAAAAACTTTTCAAAATTGTTAGTATCAGGGGGGGATCAGATTCAACCTTAAACTTAATAAAAACTTGATCTCCTAACCCTCTCTTCACTTTCAGTTCAGTCTTAAAAATACAAAAGTTCATAAAATTTGGAATAAACATTAATTCTTATAATAAGTACTGTTTCATATTACAATATACCAATGGTCCCCGAAGCTAGCGCGATGTTAAAAGAATTAAATGAACAGAAAGGGCATAATTGTCATAATGTTAAATCTACATTACACCGCTCCAAAGCTTCTTAAAAACTCAAACTCAAAGTTTGGGTAGAAAGAAAGGTGTACATGAAGTTTGTCAACAAATTAAATTATTTTAATTTGTCAAGAAAAAAAGTAAAGAATAGTAAAGTCACTTCACAGTTTTAAAATTTGCTTTTATTCTGTAATTCCGTTGTAATGTATAAACTATGGAGTAATTTTGATATATTCTAGAATATTTGAATTTGTTAACCAGCTTTTCCATCGTTTAAGAAAACACCAGTGAACATGGAACATTGAACAATCTTTTTTTTTAAATGTTAAGGGACCTAGAAATTTTTTAGGTGATCCGACATTTTCGATTCTAAACGGTTGCCTTTTAAACTCAGGAGGCACAATGAGACCTTATTGCATGGTGTTTATAATACAGGCTGTCCCACGAAACATGACAGTTGGTGAATAGTTTAGAATGTCTTCTTCCATAATAATTTGTTAAGTTGTTTGATACCAGACAAAAATAAAAATATAATATGGGAGTTATGTTATAGTAAAATTGATTTCATAGTAAAATATAATTAAGCAAAAGTTTTTTTTAACAAAATAAATTGCAAAAAACCTTTAATATCTAATACAGAATATGGAAAACGACATTCATAACTATTTATCAACTGTCATGTTTCGTGGGACACCCTGTATCTAAAAAGTGTGGAATTCTATTAATATACTTAAATGTCGATATATCAAGCAAAAAATAATAACCTTCAATTTTCAACTGGACAAATAAGGATACCTTATTTATCCTTGATCAGACCAACATTTAAAGGGTATCCGGTGTAAATCAAGCATGCCAATTGAAATTAGGTTTTCAGTCCCTTTAAAGTTTTTCCCTTACCTTGGTCATTTTAGTCGACTGTTCGTTCATCATATTTTCCAGTATTGTTGTATCAAACTTGAAAATATAATATTAGTTTCCAGTATTGTCGTATCAAACTTGAAAATATAAAATTAGTTTTCAGTACTGCCGTATTATCAAGCTTTAAAATGAAATGTCAAAATCTGGGATAATAAGGACAATCTATGAAAACAATTACTAAGGTTAAAAAGTGCTTATGCTTAATACCCGTATTTAAGATAAGTGAGACGTAAAAAAGACGGGCGTCATAAATAATGAATCAACAAAAACAAAAAACTACTAATCTACGCAAATAAATCCTTTATAACCGGGCAATAAATTTTATGTGAGTAAATCTTATTTAAATATTTATTTTGAAAGAGCGCTTTCTTCATATGTTTTTTTTAAAGGAAAATTATGATGCAAATTGTGAAATAGTTCTTATATAATAGTTTGAACATTTTAACTTGCATGGATTTTATAAGTTTTCTAGATCACAGCGAATGTATAAAACGATAATTTCTAAAAGAGTTGAGATAATCCGCCGTATTATTGTCAAATTGGCTTACCAGTGACATTTTGTTTTCTCTCAGATCAACCTCTGTTGGACTATTCTTCATTAACCAGGAATCCCTTTATCATAAAACTTTAATTATTTATTCCAAGAAAAAATTAATTCCTGAGTTCAGAAAAAAGTTTCTTATTAAAGTCTGCTAACCTGAGCCCCTCCATAGAATGAATTGAATTGTTGGCAAGGTTTATCTTAGTTAGATATCTATAGGGAGAACTGGGCCCTATCAGAGGAAACAGAGAACTTATCTATAATAGAATATTTGTTTTCATTGTTCAGCATCTCTCAGGGTTGACAGGGAAAAGGACAAAAGAATCTTTTATTTCTTAGAGAGAATGCAGGAGTGTGTATTTTCTTGAAAAATACCCTTGGAGCTTAAAAATGTTTAAGACACTTTTATATAGAAACCAAGTAATTTAAAATAATTCGATTTTAAAATTAAAATTATAAGCTTAGATATTTAATTTATACTTGATCAGACAAAGATGTTAAGGATATAGTTGTGAATCAGACATACCTCACTCTAAATGTTGTGCCACTTTACATTACGTCCCAACTCCCCAGCTACTTTACATTACATCCCCACTCCCTATGTACTTTACATAACGTCCCACTCCCCAGCCACTTTACATTACGTCCCCACTTCCCAGCCACTTTATATTATGTCCCACTTCCCAGGTAATTTACATTACGTCCTACTCCCCATGTACTTTACATAACCTTCCACTACCCAGCCACTTTTCATTACGACCCCACTTCACAGCCACTTTACATAACGTCCCACTCCCCATGTACTTTACATTACATCCCACTCCCCATGTACTTTACATTACGTCCCACTCCCCAGGTACTTTACATTACGTCCCACTCCCCAGGTACTTTACGTTACGTCCCACTCCCCAGGTACTTTACGTTACGTCCCACTCCCCATGTACTTTACATTACGTCCCACTCCCCATGTACTTTACATTACATCCCACTCCCCATGTGCTTTACATTACTTCCCACTCCCCAGGTACTTTACATTACGTCCCCAATCCCCAGGCACTTTACATTACATTCCACTCCCCAGCTACTTTACATTACGTCCCCACTCCCCAAGCACTTTACATTACGTCCCACTCCCCATGTACTTTACATAACGTCCCACTCCCCAGCCACTTTACATTACGTCCCCACTTCCCAGCCATTTTACATTACGTCCCACTCCCCAGGTACTTTACATTATGTCCCACTCCCCAGGTACTTTACATTATGTCCCACTCCCCAGGTACTTTACATTATGTCCCAATCCCCAGGTACTTTACATTACATCCCACTTCCCAGGCTCTTTACATTACGTCCTACTCCCCAAGCACTTTCAAGATGACACGTCATGTATTGATTATTTAAAAATTTAGCTTTATTTGCAAAATTGAAATAAGAACTTTCATATAATTCTTTTATAAATATTTGTAAAACCTTTATATCCTAAAATAATAATAAATATTTTCAATATGAAAACTCTGCTTTAACGTTATTACTTTTTTTGAAGATGTTTTATACAAGCTTATGAGAAAATCCTTCCGTCAAATAATTTTCTAAGTGGAAAGAAGAACCCGTTTTTTTCTCTGCGACTGCGGGTGGTTTTTCTTTGAATTATCAGGATCATAGCAAGCCATCTAAGTATTTTCTAAATAAATTAAGGAAAGAACCTTTGTATTCTAAATCCATAAAGGATCCATTCATCCGTTTCTTTTATAGTTCGACAGTATAATTGAGAACCTTTAAATATTCATATTCAACCAATCAGTAATATCTGCACCTCAACTAATAATAATTGAAAAAAATACTATTCCAACTAATCAATAAAAACAGTTTCCATTAGATCATATAATGCAATAGTGTGATTGTGGTACAAGGTGTCCATAAAACAAGAGAATTCATTGACGACCTTCATGTCGTCTTCGATCCATGCGGCATTTTATCATGAATTATGGCAGTATTCCAGCTTAAACTTCTTATATCCAAAACGTCTGATCTTGAGAGTTTCAAAATGTGGTCTTCCAGCTGTGGTTCTTAAAATTTACGGAGATATTGCAAAATATGTTCAAAGGAAATGAGTTTTTGCCACACACTCAAATTTTCTTGTTCCCCTGTAACCTAATATTTCACACTTGGCCTTATTTAATCTAACATAATTCATAGTTTGAAATATCTAAGGTTTAATACATTGGGTTGAAAAGATATTGGGATTAGAAAATCAGAGTTTGTTGCAAAGACTTAAATCCTTTCAATTTATTTAATAAATCAAAATTGTCTAATATCTTCGTGAATTTTTAAGACCCAAGAAAAGTAGACCATCTTCATTAAAAGCTCGTCAGTCGTAAAGCTTTGTATTTTTACTTTCTTTGCCATGCATTAAATATCAGAAATCAAAGACGACTTTCAAGTCGTTTCTCAATTCCTATGTTAATTGGAGTGGAATGCTAATACACATATTATTCTCAATCTCACTAGACGGAGAGGATTCATTTGGTTTACCTGCAGCCCTAAAATTAAGTCCGGAACTTTAAAAGAAACCGGAATTTTCAGTGGGTTTCAAAGTACATTGATGTATACTCATTATATATATATGTATGTATTACATATATGTATATATATATTTCAGTATTTAAACTTAACATTTTATTAAAAAAGAATTATACTAAACATAATGTTTCACGCCTCATGACGATCCTCAGTAGTCCAAATTCTTTGAACAACTTTGAATATATATATATACATATATTTTTGTTGTAAAACATCAGTTAAACCATGTTTATTGACTGATGAGGATCGAGAGATCTGAAACAATTTGTATCAATAAATATGAAAACTGAGAAGCTGTTCTGATTATTGCTTTATAGACTATAGTTATATATATATACATATACATATATATGTATATATTACAGGTACAGGTACAGGTACAGGTACAGGTACAGGTACAGGTACAGGTACAGATACAGGTACAGGTGCAGGTACAGGTTGATTATTAAAATGTTTAGACAAATAAACTGAATTGGATTTTTGAACCTGAATTTGTCGTAAGGAATTGATTCATCTGCCAGAGGTTTAGCCAGCTCACAGTCACAGCCTGGAGGACATCTTTTCAGGGTATCCTAGAGTACATAGAGTACATAGAGTACAAAGATTACATAGAGGACATAGAATACATAACTTTTCATGTATTCATTTAGAAAAATTATTTTTCAATAATAAAGGTTTTTTAATAATAATAAAAGTTCAAACCCACCCTGGAGAATTGAATGAATTGAATGAGAAGATTTCTAGGTTTTCGTTTCTCCAATTCCATCAAAGCAGGATCATATTCATTCGTATACCAACGCTTCCCTCTAAACAAACAAAAAACAAATTAACAACAAGTTGTTAAACGCTAGAAATACTAGAAAGATATCAAAAAGAAATATCTCTATGTCCATAGATCTCTATGTTTATATATCTCTATATCTATATTGCTCTATATAAATATATCTCTATGTATATATATATCTATATGTCTATAAAGCTCTATTTAAATACATCTTAATGTCTATATATCTCTATGTCTACCTCTATGTCTATATATCTCAGTGTCTAAATATTTCAATGTCTAAATATCTCTATGTTTATAAATCTATGTGTTTATATTTCTATGTCTTTGTTAAGATATCTTGTTTTTTTACGTTAAAACTCTTTTATATTTATTTAAATCTTTTTTGAGTGTTTTTAAATGATTATAAAAAAAGAAAGAATTTTGAAAACATATTGTGCTGAACTGATGAAATTAATTGCTTTTTTACTACTGCAGTTTGGTTTAGGGTTTTCATGCGCAAAATCATTTTATTAAATTTCAGGAAGGTTTGATTAAATTTTGTTAAAAAATGCCTTTTATACAAACAACAAATATATCATTTTAAGTTACTCATAAAAAAGTAGTCTTTGAGAATATGCACAGCTATGGCTTCACATGCGGTAAATAATGAAAAATAATTGTACAAATAATTTAGCAGCTTTAGATCAAGTTTTGCGGCATTATTACGTATTTGCGCATTGGAAGGTCTTACAGATGGAAAAGGCTGTGACGATACTTTTAATTATAATGAAAAAATATGTTTTTACTTGTGAAAACTGCATTCTGTTTTGTCCTTGTCCTGCCAAACTCTATAGAATCCATCCTCCACTAACCAGGACAACTTCCGGCCATAATCTAAATAGAAGAACAGTTTCCGGTCATAATTGAAACAGAAAAACAGTTTCCGGTCATAATCTAAACAGAAAAACAGTTTCCAGTCATAATCTAAGCAGAAAAACAGTTTCCGGTCATAATCTAAACAGAAAAACAGTTTCCGGTCATAATCTAAACAGACAAACAGTTTCCGGTCATAATCTAAACAGACAAACAGTTTCCGGTCATAATCTAAACAGAAAAACAGTTTCCGGTCATAATCTAAACAGAAAAACAGTTTCTGGTCATAATCTAAACAGACAAACAGTGATGTAAATAGATGAGATTTTGAATTTTTTTAACAGTAAATAAATGAGAAAATTTTTACTGCGTCCTACATGTCAAATAAGATAAACTTAATATAAAACTTAATTAATGTTCAACTTTCTATTTTTGTCTAAAATACATTTTTTCTAAAATTAGATATCAATTGGATACAAAAGATTAAATTTTTAGTTTTTATATATGTAAGAAGAGGCGCGCAATGTGAATTAAAATCATGTAAAAATCTAATAATTGTTTTGATCTCTGTGGACAACTAATAAAGTTTAAAAATTATTTAATGGGATTTTTTTTCTTTCTTCCATTAAATAATTAGATATTTCAACTATCTCTACTTACTGCATGCAATTATATATTTTGCAATTAATCCCGTTTTAAATTAACAGGAAAAATATAAAGTTAAAAAAAATACAATTTTGGTTTTCCAGAAACCCTGATCCCGTCTCAGTAAAAATGTCCAATTTTAAATAAATGAACATTTTCTTGTAATTTCCAACACAAGCATAAACATAAATTGAACTACTATATATATATTTATAAATGTGTCCTCATACAGACCCGGAGCTAAGCTCGAATTGCAAGTAGTCCGGCCTATAAACAGGACATTAGTTCTTTTGTATATAGTTATAGGTTGGACAGAAAGTGGAGCAGATGATAAGTCGCCAACGTAGAGAAATATTTGTGCGTTAGAAAGTGCCAACTCAGAAAACATCCTTTGAACCCATTTTTGAACGCATGAAAACCCGAAGCCACTGTTGCCCCAGATCCTAGTTTAAATTCAAGCCAATAGGCAGGAACCACGG